AAGCAAAGGAAAGCTGAAGTAAGATCATAAGCACAGTTGCGGTTTCACTTAGTGACCACTTTGCTTAACAGCTGAGTTGCTGGTCCCAATTGTGGTCACTAAACGAGGGCTACCTGTAAAATGTATTGGTTGCTGCCATTTCCCCCCCCAAACAATGGCTTTGGATTGCTTGGATGTGGAAAATAGCTGTGAATAGGTCAATGTACCCGTAAATTTGCCTTCCATAGAACCATAAAGAGCTGGCTTTGTGTGAGGGTTGACTTTACAAATCTCATAAATAAATTAGCAAATAAATAAACATCATCTGCAGTAAGACTGTGTAAATACGTGATGCTACGAATCAGTTGAGACTGATTTGGAAGCCTTCTTGCATGGACACATCGTTTTAATCATCCAAATCGCTCTGAATAGATTGGGCCTGAGTTTGAATGTCTAAATTCAACTCAGCTTGATGTTCCGGAACAATTCAGACATTCAAACTGTATTGGACCCCATTCGTTCATGCTTAATAGGGATGAAAGATGCCTAGACTCTGTATCTAGGTCGGTGTCACTTCTGTTAATTAAATGCATTCTGTTTGAGGCCAGAACGCTTTCCCTGAACTTCATAAAGCGGAGCATTTTGTAGTGGAAACTCAAGCGCATGACACAGACTTGGGGAATCGGAGTCCATCTGTTTAGGCCAGAAGCCTCCTTAGCTGGAGTTCCTTGAAGCGAAGACAGTGTGTCTTCCGGCAAGCGCTCTTCAGCAACTGCGACCCTCGCCCTACGGAAGAGCTCAGCTGGGCTCCCAAATTCAATTATTAGCTCCAAAGGGTCACTGGAAGATCTGCCAGTTTACAAGGTAATTTCTAGGAAGAAGAGCGATCTAGACAATCAGACTTGCCCTGGTAGTGACAATGACTTTCTGGAAACCAGTCGGATCATAATTGATTCCAAGCTAATGGTGAGTTCATGCCCTGCTCGGCTGGGCTCACGTAGTCGGGAGATGAGTGAGTTTTAGTTTTGCAATGCGAGCTTCTTCCTGGCCAGATTTGTGCTGGGCAGTTGGGAGGTTCATTTGGGGAGGCAAGTCAGGACTTCAGAGGGCCAGATGTGCAGGAGAAATGAAGGAGACAGAGGCACTCCAGCCCTCCATCCCCATTGTGGGGAGCAGCAGGGTTTCCAGTTGGATTAATGGGGAGGAGGGTGCAGGCCAGAAGTGGGAACCCTCCCTGGACCCCCATGATTTTCAACTTTCCCTGCTTTTGTCACCACAGTTAAAATGTGCCTTATAAGAAATCGGCAGCTGGGCTGATGGTGCTTGCTGGTTAATGCTGGTGTCCCGTCAGAACAGCTGCCGACGGTATATTTACCAGCCATGGCCACGGGGTCAAAGCTGTTGGGAAGGAACGGTTAGCAGGGGCAGAACAGCGGCCCCAAAGATGGGGGGATGGAAGCCCCCTCTCCCCCTCCATCTTTCAGTGATTTGGGGTTGTTTCAATGGCTTGGTCTGCGTGTGCATGAGTGAGGGTGCGCAAGAGAGGAAGAGGGTGTGAATACAGGGAAGACTCCAATACGCTCCCTGGCACTAAGGGTCCAGACAGCTGCTGAGCCTGATCTAGCAAGATTCTGGGGTCCCTGGCAGTCCTAGAGACTCTCCAGCCAGTGCTCAGCTCTTAGCATTGCTTGGATTGGCCTCGACAAGATGCAAGATTTTAAGAGAGATTTTTCTGCTGCGGCAGCCAAAGCTTAGCCAGGTAGAGATCAGTCAAACACAGCCCCCCCCCTCCAGTGACCCAGACCTGTGTAAGGCCGGGGAGCGTTGCATTAGAAGAGGGAAACTGTTTTGCTGTGCCCCTTTTCTGCTCCTATTTTTTAGTTGTCTGACTCATCAAAACACATCATCTCTTCCCATCCACGGGAATAAAGCCAGTTGGTGCATTAAAGAATATCACTACTTCTGATGCTCTTTCCAGAATCTTTGTTGTTGCAGTCAGCCCTCTGAGGGTGGGAACTGATCTCCATCCTCCTTTAAAAATCTTTCTTTTTCTTCCCCTAAAGCTGACTGCAGTTTAGGGCAGTCGCCTTAAGGGTGCTTTAGCTTCAGAGCAGCGCAAATGGGTTGAGCAACAGGCAAAATCGCGATGGGGATGATGGTATTCCCTCTCCCTTCTATGTTCATGGCTGAGTTTTCAGAGGGTATCCAGAAATTTGGGGCTTTTAATTCCCATTACCTTCAGCCAGTGGCAAGGGATTGGGAGAATTGTGGTCCAAAACCTCTGGAGGACATCTGGTTGGTAATTCCAGAAGTCTGGAGTGAGCTTTCCTGTTCAGTCATGAAAAGAGGAACCAGGATGGGACCGTGATGGCAATGCAGAGAAAATTAACTTCTTATCCCTAACCTATCAGATATATAGAGGCTGTTTCCTGAAATGGCCACTGAAAGGTTTGCTGACTGCACTGGTACCTTGGTCTTTGGGCTGCCCCCCTCCCGGCAGTTTTATGACTGGTTGAGCAAGTTTCTTTGAATTCACTTACCAAGGAGATCCCATCCTGAAGTTTAAGAGATTAACACTGAGGTGGAAAGTCATGCATAGTGTGTAAGTGTGCACATCTGTGTGCATGTGTGCATGACCTGATTGTGATATGAGGAAGGGGAGAGAGATCCTTCTGGCTGGGGTGAATGCAGGCCAAGGAGGATTTGGAGCCAGGAAAAGACCATGTTGAAATAGCAGTGACAGGTTGACCCATATATCGCATGACCATCAACTGAACTTATTAAAGAGGCTATGAAGGGATAACTATAAGTTCTTCAAGCGAGGCTGTTCTTGAAGAAAGCTCTTGAATCTTGGTGGATGAAGATCCTGGTGGCAACATCTACCAGCAGGGAAGGACACAAGGACAGAATGGTTGCCTTCCAGTTCCCCACCCCCATTGATCTACCCGGCCAATGAAAGTTTTCTCCTGTCCCAATTCACACCTAGGCACCCAGGCCATCCTGCCAATTGCTGCTTTCCTGTTCACACTGCAATCGAATTTCAGCACCGCCAGCTGTTGGGCCAGCTGGAAGAAGATGAGTTGTGATGATTAGGTTCTAGAGTTGTACTGAATTGGGGTGATGTAGCTTCAGGAGCTTGGAAAACTAGTGCAGCGTGGCGTTGGATCTGTCTCCCCAATCAGGAGAGGCAGCGTGCGTAGGCTTATGAAAAGTTTTATCTGAGTCGTGCTGAGCTGGCGGCTGTAGAAAATGATTAAATGAATAAATAGCTGGTAGTATTCCCCAGTCATCAGTATACATTGGGGGAGAGCTATGGACTGGAAGTTGGTATATCTGCCTGTCTGGCTCTCCATCCAGCCATCTTTCCAAAGAAACGAATTAGCTCTTATTGTCTCTTTAAAGAAATGAATGAGACTCAGATGAAAAGATGAGGTGGGGGGGGACAAGTGGAGGTGCCCCTCCCTCTTCTACAGTTCTGGTCTACTACCATCTGAAGCTGCATGTTCACTCAAGGAGGAAAGAGGGATGAAGATTCCTTGTAGCTGCCCCTTCTTGGGTCTCTCCCTGGCCACAATATCTGTCTGGGGATCCTTGGGCTCAAAGTTCCCCAGTGGGGAAGTCTCCTGTCTATATGCCCATCAAAGCAACCATCCCTGATTTGATCCTCACTTTTCCACCTGGAAAGACCTCTGCCTCAAGTGTGGGGGCAGGTAACTGGAGCATAGTTTCCTTATTCTTCTTAAATGCAGGGAATGCTGTCAAATGTGTGGGGTCTCCCCATTAGTCAAAGGGTTGCTGTAGGTCCATTCCCCTAAGACCATTGTCCCCCTTACCTTATGGGGCAAGCAAGTTTTTCAAGGCAAGAGAAGGAGCTCCATTAAGGGCATAGGACCCAAACAGTACAGTACTTCGAACTGACTTTGAGCTGTATCTTAGAACAGCGTTGCTTGTCTCAGGCGCAGATTCTGAACAGTATTCAAGGGCAGCTCCACAGGTTGCACAATGCAGTAGTCTAACTTGAATTTTTATCAGGATATAGGTAACAGGAAGTCTTTTATCTCTACTCAGCAGGAGCTTGATTGACTTGAGCAGCAAACGAGACTTGAGGAATGTAACTTACAAGATTTTAAGTGTGGTTACTTGGTTGGGGTTTTCGATATCCTCTTACAAAAATGGGCACGCTTGCACGTTTCTGCTAATGCTAGGCACATGTGTTGCTTCAAAGCAGCCCTCCCTCCCTCAGATTTAACGATGCATGAAGTCAGCAGAGGGAGAGAGCAGTATGTAAACCAGGGTTTATATTAACTGTAAACCAAGGTTGATCGATTGGTTGCTCTGAGTGGGATTTTAACGGATGACGTGAGCCTGATTGACTACAGATGCCAAACTGATTACATTAGCTTATGAAATCAGACATTAACTTATGAAATCAGGTTGGTCAGAGATGTGAATGTTTGAAAGGTTTATTCATCAGTAGTGAGGGCGACAAGGTAACAACATGGACCTCCCCAGTTCACATGTTATGCAAACAAAACTCTGTTTAGGAAACCATAAATCTTTACTCCAGGAGAAGATGGTCCATTACCATGAGCAAACACTTTTTGCAGGAATGAAAAGGCAGGTAGCTTAACTAGGGTTGCTAATGGAAGCAGTGCTCTTGTTTACACAAGAATTGAACCATGAGCAGCGTGAGAGTGAAAGGAAGACGGTACGCGCCAAGCCAAACTTCGCCACACTGTCCCAAAGCCCTGATGCTGTTTTCAGCCGAGCTGCAAGTTGCAAAGTGGTCACTTAATCAACTCTGTCTTAGCTGATTAATTTCCCAAGGGGCCGGTTCTAAAGCATGGGAACGAAAGGAACATTAGCTTATGTCACTTGAAGCGGGTGTGTTGGCAGAATCGGGGCAATAGAAAAGGTTTCCTTTTCAAATGCCAAGTTGACGCTTTTGTGGTAAAAAGACAGGGGATCTCGTAGTCTCATTCTCCCCCTTTCTCTTTCCCTATACCAGTGTTGTCCAAACTTGGCCACTTTAAGATGAGTGGACTTCAACTCCCAGAATTCCCCAGTCAGTCCACTCATCTTAAAGTGGCCAAGTTTGGACAACACTGCCCTATACATTCGTTTCACGCGTCAGGTGAAATGGGCTGGAGTCCAAAAAAATTAAGTCTGTAGCTTGCAATGCCTATGTTAAGTTTTGAAAATGATACCAGTTTATGTTTTGTGGAGTATCCGTCAGTTATTGCAGCCAGTCAATTTCCAAGCGAGACAGAGCATCTAAGGCAACATGTCATGCACACCCACAAGGGGAAAACTTCATCAACAAACATCATCCATTTGACAAGGGACGTGGCTGATGTATACTGTATCAGGCTTCCCTTGGTTAGTCCTGCGCGCTAATTCAGCGACTCCGAGCTCTGATAAATATGTTTAATGCAAGAGGTAGGAAAACCATTATGAAAGAATTCTGGCGACAGCTGGGTATTAAAGGCAAGCCCTATTTATAGTGAAATCAAGGTTCAATTTCATGCCTTTTCCTCCCGGGCTGGAGGTTTTCCACATTGGGAAACAACAGAGACAGTTTCTGCCCGTCCCTTGTGGTGGGTTTGGGGCTGTTTGTTTCTCACCTCGCCCGAATGAGCTCGCCCAGCCGCAAACTCCACCTCACGTGCTCTTTCAGTAGGATGGAGTTCAATATTTGTTTTCCTTCCAGGGGTGGGATAAGTGCAGCACAAACACCTGAGTTGTGGTGTTAGTGTCAGTCTGCTGCACTGGGGAGAGTGAGAGAGAAAGAAAACAAGCCATTTGCACTTAGCAAACAAAAACAGGGCAGGAAATTGAGTTTTCTGTTTGCCAGGGCAAAGATGGCTGCTTCTAACGATGCTGCTTCTAAAGATGCTTCTTCTGGACTTTTTGCTGGAAAAAGGGAAAAGTGAACATGATTTATGGGTTTGAAGATTAGAAAGGGTAGTTTATGGAAAGAAGGGAATTATGATGTGACCTTAGAGAGGGTAAAATAGAAATGCATTTATAAATGCTGTTAAGATTGGAAGCGACTTCTTCATCATCTTTTTCTTCTTCTCCTTTTCTATTTCTTTTCTGTTTCTATTTCCTTTCTTACTTAATCCCTATTCTTTCTTATTGTCTTTGTTTCTTTTCCAGGTTTTGTATTGTTTTTATCTTGTTAAAAATGTCTTCGATAAAAATTATGTTTAAAAAAATGAAGACGCTTCTTCTAAAAATGCTTCCTGTAGCTCCAGTTGTATGGAGCAACGCGAAAGCGGCAAAGAGACCCTGGGAATAACCTTGGGAACTCTCAGGTGGTTCAAGCTCAGATTATGGGTTGTAAAAAGAAATACCGGACAGGTTGCAGGAGGAGTTTTCAGCCGTTCGTTCACTGTTTCCCCCAAGTGAGAAGGGTTTTGAGGTGCTGCTCCCCCCAGTTCAGCTGTGTGAAATGTGTCTGCCCTGGAGGCCTGGAAGGAAAGGAGAAAAGAGGAGACAATGGGGCATTTTCTTCCCTTTTATTCTGGGGCAAAAGAGCTCATTGTTAGGGAAAGGCCGTCCCTGATCATCAATTCGGGGGCCATCTGTAGCATTCAGGACGTACACTGAGGCAACCACAGAGTCTGGGGCGCTGCAGAAAGGGAATTGCACAAGATCCCTGACTTTAGATTCGCTCCAGTTTGGAATCGTCAGGAGGAATTAAGCCATCGTTGGGAAGGAGCAAAATAATCAGCAGTTGACAGAAAGCTTTGAAAATGCTCACTGTATGTCCCTTCTTGCGAGCTGTATCATCATCTAGGATGGTGTTTGTCAACCTTGGCCACTTGAAGATGGGTGGACGTCAACTCCATCTTCATGGAGTTGACGTCCACACATCTTCAAGTGGCCAAGGTTGAGAAACACTCATCTAGGACAATAGGATCAGATGAATGCACCCGTTCTGCAGCCTGGGAATCAAGGCGGTTGGCAAATATTGTCAAGTCCAGCTAGGCCTTTTGCAACGGGGGGCAAGAAATGAATGCCGCGTGTCTGGATCTGTAAGGTGTCTCCAGGCCCTTCGCTGGAGGATGTGGAACTAACGGAGCCTCCTTTTCCTCGGCCTGCAAGGAAGACTCCCGTTGTGTCAACGATCTTTCCTTTTCTCTCTCTTGCAGCTTCACAGAAGCGATGAGGAGTCAGCCCAAGCTGCAGCTGCTGGATTGTCGTTTGGGGTACTATGCCAGCCTGACCCTCATAGCAGTGGGCACCCTCTTGGTGACCTCCAGCTTCCTAGCACTGGGGTTTATCGGGACATTTTTAGGTAAGGTCAAAATTATCATGGCAAGATACCAGCTTTCCAACCAGGTGCTCCTAGATCAGTGTTTCTCAACCTTGGCCACTTGAAGATGGGCGGAATTCTGGGAATTGAAGTCCATCCATCTTCAAGTGGCCAAGGTTGAGAAACACTGTCCTAGATGGATACGCACAGGCAGACCACATGATCCAAGATGCCCGAGACAAAAGGCTATTACCAACGGGGCCCCCGCAAGAGAGGTCCAAGAAGTCAAGATGGCGGCTCTTTTGCCCTGGAAAACTCTGCATCCATAGTTGGATGCACCACCGTTTCTCCCTCTCCCTCGATTTTGGAATCAGAGATTCTGGGAAGTAGGTCCAGGTCCGTGGAGTGGGGCACGGCTCTCGATGAGTTCATGGATGTGTGCATGTCGTTTTTGTGACAATATGGAGGTAGCCTTAGAAACACAGAATTGTAGAGTGGAAGGGGACTCCAAGGGTCCTCTAGCCCACCCCTCTGCAGGGTGCAGAAAAAGCAAGGAATGAAACCATTCCCTGCTTTTCTTTTCTTTTTTATATCATAACCTTATTAAATTTTAAAAGCAGAAAGGTAAACACAGACAAGAACTAATAATTAAGAAAAAGAATAGAAGAAAAGGAAGAGCAAAGAGAAAGAAGGAAAGCAGACGTGCAGAGAAAGAAAAAGAATAGGGATAGATTTTCAATTTCCCTGTCTAGCCTCCATTAGCGCAATCTCCTCGTGGTCTCTCATCCAAACACTAACCCAGTTGGTCCCGCTTAGCTTTTCAGGGTCACCCCAGCCCAGCCTGGTGCTCTGCCTTGCTGGGTGGGAAGAGGGAGTACACACCCCCAGCCCAAAAAAACAACGGCTCCCCCCCCGCCTTTTTGAGAATTGCTAGAACAAAGAGTTGGCTCTCATTCCGCAGTCAGGGAGGGTAGTTGTCTGCGTGTTTAAATAATCAGATTGTTGTTTTCCTGGCACCTTCAATGTAGGCTACGGGGTGAGCTTGGCACAAAGTGATTCACTCTTCCTGAACAACGGCTTGGTGCCCTTCCCATTTCCTTCACAGTAGGGGCAGTTTCTCAACAGTTGGGGACTCCTCCTTTCAGTGACGGTTGGCCCATTTTCTTTCTTTGTGTGTGTGCGTGTGTGAGTGTGCAAGCAGCCGGGAGACCGCCTGACCGACATTTCAATCCCAAATCCGGGCCGCGGCGGGTAGGGGGGCATAGCTCTCCCTGGAATCCTAGTTTTCGGCAACTTGTTTTCGGAGACACGGTTGCCCTGTTTATTTCCCATTGCGCCCTGCTCTTTGCCATGGTGGGAAAGGAAGGCGTTTCTTGTGAATCCGTTCCTCTCCAGGCTCTCTCGTGGTTCTTTATCCTCAGTGAATTTGGTCCAGTAAGGTTTATGTCACAGTGGCTGGACAACTTCCTGTATTAGGGGAGAGAGAACAGAAAACTCATCCCTCTGAGGTAACCTAACGGAGAATGAGAATGCTTTGCACGGTGCCCCACATTTCCTTTTGTGGGACTGGAAGGGTTGCTCAGGCTGTGGCCTAGTTCAGTGTTTTTCAGACTTGGCAACTTTAAGAGGTGTGGGCTTCAACTCCCAGAATTCCACAGCCGTCTGGGGAGTTGAAGTCCACGCATGCTGGCTGGGGAATTCTGGGAGTTGAAGTCCACACCTCTTAAAGTTGCCAAGTCTGAAAAACACTGGCTTAGGTAGTCCAGTGTTCTGGTCCCACAAGCAAGACTCAGAACCAGAGCAGAACATCTAGGACAGCTTGACCTGGAAGTCCTGTCTTGTCCCCAGGAGTGTCTGTTAAGGCCACCTCCCCTGGATTTGGCTTGTCTTCTGCTAATGCATCCAGGCGGTGCCCACCATGGCTTCCTGTGGCAGGGAGTTCCTCAGTGTGGCAATGCTTAGAGCAGGCATTCTGGGAACACCAGCCCACTGGAGACCATTGAACAACGTGCCTCATCGTTATCAACCACTGCTTCTCTTTTCCAACTCTGAACCTTTCTTGGTGCGTTCTGGATCAGGAGTTCACCACCAAGAGGGAATCAACCCGTTATTTGGCATGGACCTACCGTCCACCCAAAAACCCTCGGTGGTTAATTGCTCCGTACAGGCATCCTAGCGGGAGGGAGAAGAATAGAGATATTTTCTTCTGCAGAAATGATTCCCCCCTTGATTCTTCTTTCTCTGCCACATCCTCTCCCTTGACCCTAAGATGGCTACCAATTGCAAGGATCCCCTTTTCTTTTCCTATCCAGGCACCTCTTGTTTCTCTGTCCCTCCCCTGCTTTATCTTGTTTGTGGTGAATTTCGACAAATTCGCAAGCTTCCTCTGCGGCTTTTTAATTTGCCCTCAAATAAAGAGGGGGAAGCAATTTTCCATCTGTGTCTTCCTCCAGATGGACCAACACAGCTGTGTGCAATTGGGTGGGGGGGAGAACAGAGCTATGGAAGTACAATCCCAGCACGCGCACACACGCACACACGCACGCACAGAGGCTTTATTTTCTTGGCTTTTCGTATTCCTCAGTATAACATCGAAAGAACCATATATTGCTAAGGTTTACATTCTGGAATTCAGAGGCGGAAAGGAGAGGTGCAAGATTTACAATTCACTGGGGTGGAGAAGCCATTCCGAAACATATGTCTGTGTAGAAGGACGTAACGTTGCTGGGAGGGTAGAGCAATTTTCTCATGATAAACGGGGATGATGATACCTCCCTTGAGAGCAAAATGCCTTTGGCTCAGTTGATTACAGCCCTCGCAGGAACCAGAAAGGCCTTACTGCTTTTTTTCGAAATAGCCTCGCTCTTCCATCTCCCACCATTCAAACCAGATGATCCTCCAACATTCCTTAGGACCAGTTTGAAATAGCTGGAGGCTGCAATCAATTCCAGTTAGGAAGAAACAAATTCTGCAACCTTTTTATACCATGACCTATTGCTTTGGGAAGTTGGGTCCAGCAGAGAAGGGGACTTGCCTTCTGCATCAGTTCACTGTCTCAACTCCTCCCTCCAGAAGGATCTTAATTTTGGAGGAAGAAGACCTGAAGACTTCTCCTCAGTTGGACAGGATGCTAGAAATAGAAGACCATAAGCCGTGCCCTGCTGGATCGGACCTCTGGTCCGTCTTGTCCAGCAGTACGTTCTCTCAGTGACCCACCAGCTGCCCAAGGAAGCCCACCAGTGTCTCAGCAGATGGCTTTCAGAGGCAGTCCCACTCCCATCAAGGCCAAGAGCTGTTGAACCCCAGGACTTCCATGAATCGGTCCAGCCCTTTTTGAAGCCAGCCAAGCTGGTAGCCAACTCCACTGAGAACTACTAGTCCAGCAGTCCTTTCTCCCAGTGGCCAGCCAACTGCCTAAGGAACCCCACCAGTCTCCCAGGAGATGGCCTTCAGAGCCAGTCCCATTGCCATCCAGGCTAACAGCCGTTGATCCCCAGGACTTCCATGAATTGGTCCAGCCCTTTTTGAAGCCAGCCAACCCAGCACCACCTGAGCAACTCCTGACTGGGAGCGTAGGTTCCTGGATCCTCTTCCATCGAACACCGTGTAGGGGACAGAGGAGGTAGAGATCCCATGATCTGCAGCTGTGATTTATCACTAGCAAGCATCGGATCATAGTTTTGCTTCCTCCCACTTTGATTCAGGAGGTGAAGAAGTTCCTAATCTCCTGACCCTTAGTTGGGGACTGGTGGGTGAGGATCAAAGGTCCTGTTAATCTGTCTTTTCCAAAAAGTTGGGGCAATGAAAAAATGCCTCATCTTTCTAACAAAATAAGAATATAGAAATGCAACTGAATTATTTTCCAGGAGCTGGCG